CCGTGGTTTTAAAAGTGCGATGCTTTCAAATAAATGTTTCCATATGATGAGTACGTAACGGTTAGTATACGCAGTACGAGCTATATTAAATACAGAATGCAGGCGTTTATGGCTAAATTGAACTAATTTAGAACGCGCTTTTGATAAACATGAGCTAAAAATTATTGTAATACATGTAAAACGGATAAGCTCAAAGCAGTACGTGCTCTGACCTAGCCAAGTAATTTAAACGCAGTCGAAGTATCCGATTGCCTTTCGCCAGAGACTTGTTTATACCAGCGCAGCATTTGTTGTAGAAATTACATTAATAGCACTGCTAAATGGAATCACCGACAAACAAAAGCCTACTTTAAGGCAAAGATCACCTAAGAATTCAAGCAAAATAGCGTAACGCTTGTTGGTTCTAAAACCTGTGCTTCTAGTTGACACAACATTAATTCATTCCCTGTTTGCATACGAAGACAAATGGTCGAACGGATTCGTCCAAATAACTGAATAAACCTCAATAGACACTTCTCAATGTCGCTTTAACAATTCGAGGACAGTTTTTTTTGCAGTGATTATAAGGCTCTTTGGCTTATTCGCTTTTCGCTGAACGAAATCCCATCGTCAGGCTGCAATAGCTCTTTCACACTCCGGTAGATCGCATCTTCTCCATATCAAGTACCATATCGGGAACAAATGTGCACAATTCGTTCAAATATACAGCAATGATCCAGGCTCAATTATTTCAATGTCCTTTTAACAATTCTAAGTCCATTTCTTGCGGATGATATTATCAGTGTTCTTTAAAATACTGTTCTTTATACAAAACCCATCTCTATAATTGATGTGTCGTGAAAAAAATTCGCCTTACTAGTACCCTCTAGGATATTCCAAACATATACGTAAAAGGCACTTGGAAAAAAAGTAACACTAAGTAAGGGAGGTAGCAGTAACGTGTTTAATCTGACTTTAATGAATAAATTAATGAGAATCGAGTGAGTGAGTGAGTGAGTGAGTGAGTGAGGGAGTGAGTGAGTGAGTGAGTGACTGATCGAGTGCCATTCGAGTGCCTCCAAAAGCCCATCGCATGACTACGTCATCCATGAGCTAAAAATTGGGGTATATTACGTATGTAATGATCATCATGAAGTTATAACATAGGAGGAAGTGGAAAAGTTGCGGTATGTAATGATCATCATGAAGTTATAACATAGGAGAAAGTGGAAAAGTTGCGGTATGTAATGATCATCATGAAGTAATAACATAGGAGAAAGTGGAAAAGTTGCGGTATGTAATGATCATCATGAAGTTATAACATAGGAGGAAGTAGAAAAGTTGCGGTATGTAATGATCATCATGAAGTTATAACATAGGAGGAAGTAGAAAAGTTGCGGTATGTAATGATCATCATGAAGTTATAACATAGGAGGAAGTGGAAAAGTTGCGGTATGTAATGATCATCATGAAGTTATAACATAGGAGGAAGTGGAAAAGTTGCGGTATGTAATGATCATCATGAAGTTATAACATAGGAGGAAGTGGAAAAGTTGCGGTATGTAATGATCATCATGAAGTTATAACATAGGAGGAAGTGGAAAAGTTGCGGTATGTAATGATCATCATCAAGTTATAACATAGGAGGAAGTAGAAAAGTTGCGGTATGTAATGATCATCATCAAGTTATAACATAGGAGGAAGTAGAAAAGTTGCGGTATGTAATGATCATCATCAAGTTATAACATAGGAGGAAGTGGAAAAGTTGCGGTATGTAATGATCATCATGAAGTTATAACAAAGGAGGAAGTGGAAAAGTTGCGGTATGTATTGATCATCATGAAGTTATAACATAGGAGAAAGTGGAAAAGTCGCGGTATGTACAGATCATCATCAAGTTATATGACGGGGAAGTAGTTGGTATGTAAGAATGGTCCTAAAGTAATATTATAGGAGGAAGTGGTAAAGTTGTGGTATGTAATGATTATTATGAAGTTATAACATACGAGAAAGTGGAAAAGTTGCCGTATGTAATGATTATTATGAAGTTATAACATAGGAGAAAGTGGAAAAGTTGCGGTATGTATTGATCATCATGAAGTTATAACATAGGAGAAAGTGGAAAAGTCGCGGTATGTACAGATCATCATCAAGTTATATGACGGGGAATAGTTTTGGTAAGTATTTATCATTATGAAGTGGCAAAATAATTAACATAAGAGAAAGTGGAAAAGTTGCGGTATGTATTAATCATCATTATTATTCATTCAAAATATTTTCCCGATTCTGATTCGCTAAAAGTCTACGTTTAATTCACCATAACCAGTTACTGATGACCAAATTTTGAAGAATTTTGTCTTTAAGGAGGAAATGACGTCAAAAATGCAGCGTTTTGGAAGGTTAAGGCACCGTTAAACGAGAAGACCTGGGGACGAGGTTGAGATGTTTTGCTTGTCAACTTGAAAAATGGCAGACATTTCACTCGTTTCAAGAGTAAGAAGTAGGCGAAAAAATAGCTGAAAATATGGCAAGAACAGCAAGTACACAACTCGAAGGGCGACATCTGCTATTTGGAGAATATTTGCGGAGCTGCACAAACCTAAACGTGCACTATCGAAGATGAACTTTACATCGATGGATCGATGGAGGTAAACATATTTTAGCCATGTTTTTAAACTAAGAATTATTTTGAATGAATAATAAAACAATTATTGAATTCGGCTTTCGTATCATATGAAGAATTATGGAGATCTCGGAGGGTGTTATCCGCCTCGGCCTACGGCCTCGACGGATAACACCCTCCTCGATCTCCATAATTCTTCATAAGATACGAAAGCCGAATTCAATAATTGTTAATGAAGTCATNAAAACAATTATTGAATTCGGCTTTCGTATCATATGAAGAATTATGGAGATCTCGGAGGGTGTTATCCGCCTCGGCCTACGGCCTCGACGGATAACACCCTCCTCGATCTCCATAATTCTTCATAAGATACGAAAGCCGAATTCAATAATTGTTAATGAAGTCATAACAGGGAAAGAGTGGAAAAGTTTCGGTATATATTGATCATGACGAAGTTATAACATAGGATCGATATGGAGAAAGTAAAAATGTTGTGGTAAGTAGTGATGATCGTGAAGTTATAACATAGGAGAAAGTTGTAAAGTTTCGGTATGTATTCGTCGACATCATGATATAACATAGGAGAAAGTGGAAACGTTGCGTCATGTATTGATCATCACGAGGTTATAACAAAAGAGGAAGTGGAAAAGTTGCGGTACGTACGTATTGGTTGACATGAAGATATAACATGGGAGGAAGTGGAAAAGCTTTGGTATGTATAGGTCATCTTGCAGGTATAACAGAGGATGAAGTGAAAAAGTTGCGGTATGTATTGATCGCCACGAAGTGATAACAGGAGAAAGTGGAAAAGTTGTGGCATGTATTGATCGACATGAAGATATATACCGTATTTATTCGAATAAGCGCCCAACCTCGAATAAGCACCCATCCTAAAGGTAGAAAAAGTTAATAAGGGCCCACTTCCACCCCAACCTCTTTCCCTTCACAACCCCCCCACCCCCCTCCCCCAAAATTGAAGTCCTAATAAGAGACTTCCTCGAAGACGGAGTTTTCCTCAGAGTATTTCACAGAAACCTTGCTTTGTTACATCTTCGCGTTTTGTTTTTACTATTTATTGTTTTGTTGCAAAAGAAACATGCTATACTTGCTGAAAATGTTGAAAATTTAATAAGCGCCCAGCCTCGAATAAGAGCCCACTCTCAAGGTTCAAAAATTTAATAAGCGCCCTGGGCGGTTAATCGAATAAATACGGTATAGGAAAAAGTGGAAAAGTTGCGGCAAGTATTGGTCATCGTGAAGTTATAACATAGGAGAAGCTGGAAAAGTTGAGGTCTGTATTAATCATCATTAAGTTATAACATAGGAGAAAGTGGAAAAGTTTTGGTAAGTATTGATCATCACGAAGTCATAAAATAAGTAAGATAAGAGAAAGTGGAAAAGTTGCGGTATGTGTTGATCATCATGAAGTAATGACATAGGAGAAAGTGAAAACGTTTCGGTATGTATTGATCATGACGAAGTTATAACATTGGAGAAAGTGAAAATGTTGTTGTAAGTATTGATGATAATGAAGTTATAACATAGGTGAAAGTGGTAAAGTCGCGGTATGTATTCGTCGACATCATGATATAACATAGGAGAAAGTGAAAAGGTTGCTGCATGTATTGATCATTACGAAGTTATAACACAGGAGAAAGTGGAAAAGTTGCGGTGTGTGGTGATTGACATGAAAATATAACACAGGAGGAAGTGGAAAAGTTCCGGTATGCATTGATCGACATGAAGTTATAACATAGGAGGAGGTGGAAATATTGCTGCACGTATTGGTCATTCTTAAGTTATAACAGGAGAAAGTTGAAAAAGTTGCGGTATGTATTGATCATCAGGAAGTTATAGTGTAGGGGAAAGTGGAAATTGTTTGGTAAGTATGGATGATCATGAAGTTATAACAGAGGAGGAAGTGGAAAAGTTGCGGTATGTATTGATTGACAAGAAGATATAAGGTAGGAGGAAGTGGAAAAGTTCCGGTATGCATTTATCGACGTCAAGTTATATCATAGGATGAAGTGGAAAAGTTGCGGTATGTAATGATCGACATGAAGGTATAACAAAGGGGAAAGTGGAAAAGTAGCGGTATGTATTGGTCGACATGAAGATATATCATGGAAGATATAGCGTAGAAAAGTTGCGGTAAATCTTGATCATCACGAAGTTGTAACATTGCGGGATGTATTAAGCATCAGGACCTCATAACATGAGAATAGTTGAAATGTTGCGGTATGTATTAAAGATCAGGAAGTTATAACAGGAAGAATTGGTAAAGTTGAGGTATGTATAAGAAATCAGGAAGTTATAACATAGGAAGAAGTGGAAAAGTTTTGTTTTTTCTCGAAGGTCTGGAGGTCATAACATAAGTGGGAAAAGTTATAACATAAGAGGAAGTTGAAAAGGTGCGGTGTGTATTGATAGTCACCTTGTCATAAGAGAAAAAAGGCAAATAGGTTTTAATTAATTAGTCATGGAAATTAAGGTTTGATGATTTTTATGTTCCTGACAACAGTTTTGCAGAACGGTTAAATACTTTAATTTTGCATTAATACAGTTTAGAGGATATACTGGCCTCTGTGAAAATGTCCTTTTCTTCTTCTTTCTTTCGTGAAAGCAGATCCCTTAATGAAATGAGCATGCCTATTTTTTTCCTAATTAGGTTTTTCAATTCTTTTTGTCCTATTCCTATGACAACTTTATTGAAACTATGCAGAAAGCCTTAAAGCCAAGATGGCAAGGAGATAAGGGGATTTTCAAACCCTGCGTCACTCATTGTAGTCCAACTTATGGGACGGGAAGCTTGACCAAGACATTGGAAAAGAGGTAGAAAGATCGTCCACCCTGTCAAGTAATACCAGGGCAGTGTTTTATTGCTTTCATAAACGGGGATTCATGTCCTTGGGAGCAGTTGCTGTTATATGACACTGGAAAACCGAACATGATTTTGTCGCCAAAATAACTGACACTAATACGTTTGGTGCGCGAACGAAAAGAATTTTCGTCATTATGTGGCAAAAAAAAGAGTTTTCATGGAGGGATGTTGCAAGCAGTTCACAAGATTGTCCTTGATGCCTGTGAAATTCTATAACAAATCCTAACGGTTGACATGTCATAAGAAGTTAAACTTTAATCAACTAGTTAAAAACTTCACTTGGCAATTTTTTGCCCAGTATTCTGTGTTCGCCTGTAAGATAACAAATATTACAGAGGCTTTAATTAAGAATGCTGTAAATGGCCAACAACATATGAACAACCAAGAGCTATTCGGAGCCTCCCAATAGATAGTGAAACAATCCGTGCGAGAAGATTAAGATTTGCTGGCCATTGTGCTCGTCACAATGAAGAGACTGCTTCAAAAGTGCTGCTTTGGGAACCCCAGCATGACCAAGAACTACATACATTGACACCATCAAGGCTGACACAGGACTGGACAATACCAAAGAGATAAGAAATCCGACGCTCGATCAGTTCGTGTGCAAAGATTATATTAGGACGACTCGGGATGATTCCCGGCCTAACTGAGTAAGTATTAAGTAAGTAATATTCCTGTAGAACATGTCCCTGAAACCTTATCCCTTATTAATGTTAACGAACCTTTAAGGATTTGAGGACCATAGTACAGACAACATAAGAAAGATGACACGGTTGATCACATATGTATATTCAAATGTTTACACTGCGTAAGGCGTGATTAGATGTTTCGAGAAATGCTCGATTTTGTGATATCCACGAACTTCGTGAGCTAATAGTGGGAGGCGAATAACATGGAAGTCTTCATACAAATCTTGAATCTGAAAATAAAAGCGACCAATAATTATAGGGACGAGGATCTAAACGCGCGGGTGGATTTAGTGTGAATGTGTTAAGAGAGTAACAAGTGGTTTAAGGGACCAGGATCTGAACGGTAACGCGTTTGGATAATGTTTGAATGTGTTAAGAGAGTCACAACTGGTTTAAGGGACGAAGATCTAAACGGGCCGCAACGAGTGTAGATAATGTTTGACTATATATGTTAAGAGAATATCAGGTGGTACAAGGGAAGAGAATCTGAACAGGCGTTATGCGGTCAGATGAGGTGTGAATGTGTTAAGTGTGTCTGTTGTGACGGCTTCGACCGTAATAGCCTGCGTGGCAGGCGTTCGAAAGGAAAGGGGAAGGGAATTAGGGCGCGAGACCACGCGCGAGCGAGGAGGGAGGAGGGAGGAGGGAGGAAGGGAACGCCTGCAAGGAAACCATTGTTTTCGCCATCCCGTCTACTAATTAAAAGAATAACAAAAATAACGCAACTGTGAATGACTAGCTGTCAAACTTGTCTTGCCGCGATGCACGTCGTATTTCTCGCACTGTTTTTCTTTTGTTTTCCTAAAACAAGAAATCTAAAGTAAAGTTAATGTTAAAAAAGTTCAAATGCGGTCGTCCACTGCCGTTGGGAGATGATACTTTTCAGAACCAGTCGGTAAAACGCCTTTTCCTTCATACGATTCTTAAACTGCTTTTTTCTATTCTCCTTTTAAGCTGATGTCTTCTAACGATGAATTCCCATAGAGAAATCTCATCACGCTTCACTAACGACATACGTTTAGTAACTCAAATGGCGTGATGTTGATTTCAACCAATCAGAAAAAGGTATTACGTCGAAGATTGACATTTAATTAATTCTGACCAATCACTATTTTTAATCTGAGCTTGAAAAATGGAGAAAACAATAGAGTACTAAAGTGTGACGTCATAAAAATGAAATTTCCGAAATTATGGGATTTGTCAGGATGCTCTGAAAGAACAATGTCCAAGAGGCCTACTTGCCCAAAATGAGCATTTGGGGGCAAATTGTCTCTGAGATCGTAGCCCAGTTATGCTTACAAAACTCCATACAAACCCTTCTAAATTTTTTTTGGGTCGACCCCCAAAAAAATTTAGAAGGGTTTGTATTGAGTTTTCTGAGTATAACTGGGCTACGATCTCGGAGACAATTTGCCCCGAAATGCTCATTTTTGGCAAGTAGGCCTCTTGAACATTGTTCTTTCAGAATATCCTGACAAATCCCATAATTTCAGAAATTTCATTTTTATGACGTCATTACTTTAGTACTCTATGGCGTCCTTGCAGGCATTCCTTTCCTTTCTCCCTCGCGCACCCAACGCGCTCTCGCGCTCCCAAATTTCCTCTCCCCCTTTTAACGCCTGCCAAGCAGGCTACGACTGTAATGTGTTTGTTACCTGTTCAAGATATTTGTTCTGAACTCTCGCTCGTGCTTCACATAAAGTACACGCCGCACCTATAAAAAAAGCAAATTTAAACCATGGGTTTTTCCCCAACTGTGGACGTATGTAAGTTTACTTCATCGCTTAAATACGTTAAGTTGGACCTTTAGACTGATCCAGGGTACTGGGTAACCGATTTAAAACCCTACGGTTCGCTTTCATTTAATGTTTCGGCAACTCCTCAGAAATCCCAAAATTAAAGATCCCTGTAGCACAAGTTGCATGAGTGAGTTTCGAGGCTGACTTTCTAAACCTTTCCGCTTCGTTTTCTTTATTGAGGGGAAATAAATTTTCACGTCATTCCAAGAAATAGCAAGAACTTGTTTTGGCGGATAAAATCTGATCCTGGCCTTTTCAGGGTGTCTCTTTTGATGACATCACGGTTCAAGTTTGCTAAAATGCACATATTGAGTTATTCAGTCACAGGCTGGCTCAAAAGTTGCAACAACCTCATTAAGCACTTAAAATATCAAAAAGACAATTCTTCTTGACAGCTATACGTGTTGTCCAAGAATTTGACCAACAGATTCGAAAGTGACAACCATTATAACGCCAGAGTTAACGCTGGAATTTGAAAAGACGGGGAGAACTACAATTCCCTAATAACAATTAAGATAAGATTAAGGGTCGTCATACCAGTGTCTTTGTCAGGAAAAACAAGCTGATTTACTATTATGTTATGCGTGTCGATTTCTGACTTGGTGAGTTCTTGCACTAGTCTCTCTGTTTCGTAAAGAGACAAAAATTCTGCTATACACACGCAGACAAATGTTGTGTGATCCTACAAAAAACAAGTACGTATATGGTTAACACATAAAATATATACAGATATCACTGGAAAAAGACTGTTGTCATTGAAGATGAAAAAATAATTCACTTCACCTCAGAGAATATTTTTAAACGTACTTCTCCCTTTAGAGAGACTCTTTTACTTCTCTTTGTGTAGCAAAGGGATTAAATATATCTACGGAACTTAATTATTGTTCTATAGTAAAGGTGATCGTGAGAATAGTCAGCGAGCAAACCCTCTCTCGTAAGGGATACGGCCATAAGGCGAGAAAGCGTGCTCAGAAAGGGATGGGGGTAGAAGGGAAGAAGGCCGCTCGGCTCTCCTCGCACATTCGGAGGCCCCAAGATTCTCTTAATGAATTGATTATTTGAAAAATGAATCCGTTAGTCGTTCCCGTAACTAGTGTGAAACTGAAGTCGGCATTGCTGCATGCGTAATGAGCAGTAAATATTTTACGAGAACTTATCTGTATTTGGTCAGTTTGAAAACTTTGAATGGTTAAAATTGCATCGAAGACATTTACATCAAATTCTGAAAACAGCTGGTAGATATTTAACTAACTCCTTCGCGTGTGAATTCACGGCTGATTACGCATGCAAGACTAAACAGATGGGTCTGAAATCCACAACTACCAACGGATTCAACCTTCGAATAATAAATTCATTGATGGAATCTTGGGGGGTACGCCTAACTTGGGATCACTGTAAAAGTAGTGTTTTATCAGTGGGAATCAATTACCTCTAACTTAAGATCAGTGGGACATTTTATCCTGTTTTTCTTCTATTCAAGCCAAGTTTGAGAAGTTCACATTTGGTTAAAGAAAAGAAGAATCAAAATAACACATACTGGATTTTTGAATTGTTCACTGACTTGCTGTATGACAGGTAATGTATCCTCTAGTTTCTTGGTCATTTGATCTGCGTTCATGTCATGAATGCCTAGCAATGACCCAAACTAGAAAAAAATAAGTAAGTAATAATGATGATGATGATAAGCAAAAGAAAAAAATTAAAGAAAAGAAAAAAAGAAAAAGGAGTATTGTACAATACACGTTCTTGATGGTTTCTGTTTACTAAGAGGCGAATTGCGGCAGGGGGTATTTTGCAGAACGCCGAATGGCCGAATGACACTAAAGTTTCGTGATCAAGGTTAGGAAAGTGAGTGGGTCCTATTAGGGTCACTGTACTGGGAAAAAGGACCTGAAACTTGATTCGCTCAGTTTCCTAACCCTAATCACTAATCGGCGTTCGGCATTCTGCAAAATCACCCCTGCCCGGGCGAACTGTTATTAAAAGTTTAAGTTTCTGCTGAGAAACAGCTGAAAACCAGCTACTGCGGAGCTTTGTTTGCCTTAAATAATGGGAAATCAAACATGAGAGTTCGACATGGAGAAGAGCCCTACTCGCCCGATTGCTCAGACAAGTACGTACAAATAAGACCTCTGTGAATAGGCAAAAATATTATCGCCGAGTGTGGCGCATTACAAGCCATGCGTCAACTCGCATACTTTTCTGGTTAACACGCCTACTCCTTTGCTTCTTTCGCAAAAATATTATCTATAAACGTAGCGCTAATTGCGCTTTATAGTGAGTTTGTTTGAAGTGTAGTACGCGTTAAAAAAGATAACCTGCCAACTAGGATACCTGAAGGTTCGGTGGGGCGCACTCTACAAACAAGGAATACACAACCGGCCATCTTTCCTTCATTACGGAACGCTCAATATCATTACCAAACGATAGCAGTATATGAAAAAAAGTCACATGGCCTGGGAACTAATTGTATGTGATCCCTAAATAACGTTAAAGCCACCCATTTACTCAGATCGAGACCAACACTCACAAAAATAAAAAATCGATAGTTTTGTGGCAAGATAAGCCAAGGAATGGAAGAGTCTTTCTGCTTTTGTCATCTTTTACACTTCGCTTCAGGTCTTCAAAAACATTGTTACAAATGTAATGTTATATGTATATAATAATTTGTATATTTTTCACAGATCGCGACAGTTTTCACTCGATCCTGCACGCATATACGAGAACTACGAGAGGGCATAACGCAGTTTTTAAGGTAAATACTAATAAAAATAAATAATTAGACAAAAAATATTACGTAATTCACTTTAAATCGATAAAAATTAATCGTGGATCAGTCAAATAAGTAAAGAAAGAAAAATAAAGGAGTCCCATTCATTAATTGTCCAAGACCAGAAACTGATCTTCTACGCATCAAATAAATTTTTAACTAGGACAAATTTTCCTAGCGGATGGAAATTTTGATGCGGAGCTGTTCCGTTTAATACAGAGTGTAATGGTGATTCCTTTTTTGTTGTGTAGTGTTTTGTGAAGCAGGCACTAGCCTTAGTCATTTGCCTCCTCTTTTTGAGAGACGGCCAACAAGTTACATATTAGGCGGTTTGGACCAAGCGTAGCGATTTCTGCATCCATCTACGGAAGACGACGCTTTGGAAATTCTGTGTTTAGATAACTCGTAACATTTGTTAAAACTAAATGTTATGCAATCGGCCAGGTCTTGTTGAGCCACGTACACTGTACCCGTGATAACCAAGGCGAGATCAATAATGTCTCAGCTTCCAATTTTTGAGCCGGTAGTGAAAACCGCGCTCTCACCATTTGCACAATTTCATTTCTTCTCTCCGCCCTCCCAACCCTAATATTTAACAGGTCATTCTCGCCCGAGCTTCTGCGGTACACATATTTGTATTTGAGCCATATACCTGTGATATGAATGGTGCTATACTGTTCTTAAGAGACATAATCTTTCCAAGAGACTTCTCAATAATAGATGGAAAGGCCAGCAATCTAAGGGTGTGGCCAGTAGGGGCTGTATCAAACACAACAACAGTGAAATCCATCGTGTTAACCAACCTGGTGAGAAAAAGCCAATTGATTATATTAAGAACAGTTCCATCTTGGGTCTACTCAAAATAGTCTATACACTACCTCATGACTTCTGCAAAACTCATAGCCTCATCAATTCCTGGAAATGCCCCAAGAAGCTCTTTCACCATGTTCTTACCCATGGACATAACATCTACAGGAAAGTAATAATACAGTATAACAGTTTACTTGTTACATATTGATAGTGTTGACGATAAAAATAATAAGGATACAGCATTGCTCAATAACTGTCAATGAAAAATAAGAGTACAAACATATCTGTTAAATGTTTGAGCACTTTACTAGTCCAGAATCTAGGAAATAAAAGGAGGTAAATTTGCAAAGACCCTCGCCAAGATTCAGGTCAGAGGAACATTTTGTATAAGAGATATCCAAAGAAATATAATTTATTACCCAAATTTATAGAGATTTGTATGTAGATGCCATGCTGGGGTCCATCTGGATGAGCATCAACATGATGGACGGAAACCAACAGGAACATCTGTTACCGAGTTTTGCTACAAAAGCGTGAATTTATTCCTGGAGGAACTTATAAACATTAAAGTAATGCTTTTTTCTAATACATGAACTGTTTAGATAGCAAAGTTCCCCGGGATAAGTCACTTTTTAACACACATGACAGCCCTCTCAGCCATCATGTAAATGCCATGTCACACGAAAGCTTAGATCTTCAGGCGTACTCTATCACAAAACCAAGAATGACTTTGAAGCAAAAATTTGTTTGAAAATTAGTTTTCAGCTGCTCTCATGCATTTTACATGAATGTAAAATCTCAGTAGAACACTTAGATAGTTTTGTAGTTTGAATTATAGGGACACCATGTGAAAACCGACAATAATTATTGTGTTGTGGAACCTGAAAATAATGAGGTACATTTTATACCTACAGACTGGTAAACGGATGTTAGTTGAAATGAGGCTACTCCATACTTTTTACAACTAATGGGTAAAAGAGTGCCACTTGTTGTTATACAGCTGTACTGTCCAAGGTTTTTCTTATATACTGGGATTTATTATAAAAGATTTCCACTGAAGGAAATGAAGCCCTTCCGACTGATAGCAGGTCTATTCAAAAATATTTAGAAGCACAAAGACCATCTTTTTCACAATAAGGGTGATGATGTACCTTACTGAGGGGGGCGTAAGGGGGGTCTGAAAACCGCAAAACCGCACAGAAATACGCCAAAAAACCGCAAACCGCATCGGATTTTTACCCGAATACCGAAACCGCGAGTACAAGTAGGCCACAATATGAAAGCTGACGTCAGCAAGACTTGTGATATATTCTGATAACATTGTGCTTTAGTATTAAACATACCATCATGACGATAACGATATATTGTACTACACTATTATACTCTATTTACTACTAACCAAATGCTATATCGGCTGAGACACATCTGGAACGACTATCGACCGTGTCTCGACCGAGTGTCGACCCACTATCGACCGACTGTCGACCGCTATATCGACCGAGTGTCGACCGAGTGTCGACCGAGTGTCGACCGAGTATCGACCGACTGTCGACCGAGTGTCGACCGACTATCGACCGAGTGTCGACCGCTATATCGACCGCTATATCGACCGACATCTCGGTCGACATTACCCACAGTAAACAAGATCCATCGGATCTTTACTTTGAAAAACTCTGTCACTGATCCTGTACGTCTTACATTGGGTGACTGATTACTTTGGACGACCCTGTGCTAGTTGTGGAACGCGGAATAAATGTTTCTTCTGGAATTGGGACCTTTTTGTCTCGTAAAGAGTTCACGGTTCAGTGGAGAAGACGATTGTTAAAACGTACAGCTCTTCTGAAATTCTCTCCTTCCTTTCCTTCTTCATAGAAGATTGCCACGCAATTAATTATTACGTCTTCTTCGCTTTCAGTTGCGACCTCGACGATCTGAGTTGCCATTGTCGCGCATTGAATCAAAGCAACGAGAACACGAGGCTGTACGGCTGTGCGAGCTAACATCCGGCATTGAATTTCACGAAGTCTACACATCTTTGGCCAAAACGGTTAATCACATTAAGTATTAACTGGAAAAGGCCGTAATTGCAAACCACAGAGTTAAATTGTAAGCTGATATGATGAACCCTGATTCGTTGTAAAACAAAACACTTGGCTCGCGCTTGTAAAACAACCGGATGCTGACCGTTCTAAAGAGTGTTATCACCGCAGACACTTTTTTTTCACCGAAAACCGCGACTTAAAGGTTGTAATAACCGCAAACCGCTCAGTGTTTTGAAACCGCAATACGGCGAGTTGAAATAAAAATTACCGCAAAACCGCACCAAAAATAACCCAAAACCGCATCACCGCAAACCCTTACGCCCCCCTCCTTACTGTCCCTTGAAAAAGTACATGTACAGTAATTTTGTTTCCCAAAACGGGTGCAATTTCACGGCTGTTGTCAAGTGTCAAGAAGCAGAGATTTTGTGTAAAAAGGTATTAATTTAATTATTTTACGGTGTACCTGGTTCATCAAAAACATCATCAGGAAGATGAGAAAATCCAATGTTAGGGTCTATTTCCTGCAATGGTATTTAAATGAAAATTCATTTAACATTCACAATTTGAAAGCTTTTTTAAAGCAAAAAAAATTGTTTATTGTACTCTGCTTCCAAGAGGACTATCATGGTTAAGTATAATGAAAAGATAATGAGAAATAATAATGAGAAATCCTGTTAACTAAAGAAAATTTAAAAATAAACACTGTAATATAATAAATATTATTTTAGTGTGATATTCACCCTTGTTTCGGGTTGGCCTGTATTGATAGTACAGTTGCACCTCTACATGTGACCAGTTCTTGCAAGTAATCAGGAATCACCCATCATGAGCAAACTATCAAATCTTGGCCCCTTTAGATGGTGCATGGAAGCTTTGAGTCTAGTATTTATATAGGTAGTTATGCAAAAGATATTCACATGCCCACCTCGTGGAGGCTTATTCGAAAACCAGAGGGGTAGGGAGGAAAGTAAGTAGGAAAAATATGAAACTAAGCTGTAATCTCCAGAGGAGTGGTGTCTGTGTGTATGTATGTTGGAAGGAGGGGTGGGTTCAAACTATATGTAATTAACCTCCATCATCCCATGAGAAAAAAAAGGTTATTACTATGAAGAAACAAATTTTTATACTGATATGATCTTAGATTTTGAAGACAAACTTAGCAGTTTACTCACACTCACCATAGCAAAAAGGTTATTACAGCCTTTCACTTTTGTAGGAATGTTGCTAAATTTTTGATCAAATGCATCTGAAATATTGTGAGCAGGATCTGTAGAAATTATTAGTACACTTTCTCTTGTTTGGGCTAGCTGAAGGGCAATACTACAACTGAAAAAAAAAGAAAAGGGTACTGCTTTGTTAAACTGAACAGCACACAAAGCTATCTTCTTGATACTGTATGTCTGAAAGAACAGTGATGTCAAATAATTCTTTTCAAAGAAAGCTTGATCTAAAAAGGTGCCAGCTTTTACTCAATGCTGCACTCAATGCTTATAAACAAAAGAAAATAAAAATTAAACCAAGGATAAAATTGAACCACAACAGAGATTTGTATGTAGATGCCATGCTGGTGTCCATCTGGATGAGCACCAACATGATGGACGGAAACCAACAGGAACATCCGTTACCGAGTTTTGCTACAAAAGCATGAATTTATTCCTTGAGGAACTCATAAACATTAAAGTAATGCTTTTTTCTAATACATGAACTGTTTAGATAGCAAAGTTCCCCGGGATAAGTCACTTTTTTTTTTATTGTTAGTACACTTTCTCTTGTTTGGGCTAGCTGAAGGGCAATACTACAACTGAAAAAAAAAAGAAAAGGGTACTGCTTTGTTAAACTGAACAGCACACAAAGCTATCTTCTTGATACTGTATGTCTGAAAGAACAGTGATGTCAAATAATTCTTTTCAAAGAAAGCTTGATCTAAAAAGGTGCCAGCTTTTACTCAATGCTGCACTCAATGCTTATAAACAAAAGAAAATAAAAATTAAACCAAGGATAAAATTGAACCACAACAGAGATTTGTATGTAGAAGCCATGCTGGTGTCCATCTGGATGAGCACCAACATGATGGACGGAAACCAACAGGAACATCCGTTACCGAGTTTTGCTACAAAAGCATGAATTTATTCCTTGAGGAACTCATAAACATTAAAGTAATGCTTTTTTCTAATACATGAACTGTTTAGATAGCAAAGTTCCCCGGGATAAGTCACTTTTTTTTTTATTGTTAGTACACTTTCTCTTGTTTGGGCTAGCTGAAGGGCAATACTACAACTGAAAAAAAAAAGAAAAGGGTACTGCTTTGTTAAACTGAACAGCACACAAAGCTATCTTCTTGATACTGTATGTCTGAAAGAACAGTGATGTCAAATAATTCTTTTCAAAGAAAGCTTGATCTAAAAAGGTGCCAGCTTTCACTCAACGCTGTTGCAGTATTGACACTCTTGTTCTTACAAAATTAGTTTTTTTTCCTTCATGATTTGGTCCTTGGTAAATTATGTGCCAATCTAGGGCTTGGAAAAAATTGATTTAAAGCTTGTTCTTTGTGTAAGCAGCACTCACATTTTACTTGCCCAGGGCCACTTCTTACTTGTCTTATTTTATGATTATTTTTGAGAGAATATTACTTAATTGCCTGGAACCTTGCCCATTGGGCAATGAAGCTTTAAAAGTTACTTGCAAGCCTTGCAAGAAAATCTAGATGTCCCGGACAACTGGACATGAATTTTTTTAAGCCCTGCAAATCTTGATGTAAAAAAAACCCTCAGCATCCCTTCCCCCTACCAAAATTCTGTTAATCTTAAATGGTTGAAAAGGCTGTCTCAAGGCTGTCAACTGTCTCATTATCAAGCAGCAAAAAAAACATGGAAGTTGATTTATTTTGTAAACCGGAGATCTCAATTTCAAATGCAAAATTAGGGCATTTTGATCACCAAATCTACTATGTACTTTGGTAGGGAATTTTACCACTACAAACATACATCATCCATGGCCAGAAATCTCGTACGTCAAACTTTCTGTGACTTACATTCATGCTGTCATGCAATGGTCAGAGCCGTTGGTTTTTATAGTGAATTCTGGGCTCAAAATGTTTGAAACGTTCAAGTGGTCAAATATATAGTTGTTTGAGGTCAAATAAAAGACACTGATAAAAAATATTGCTAAGACGAGAAATGGCGATGAAAAACCTATGAAATAAGCTTTCAAATGAGAGGTTTTGGAGAAAATTTGGATGATTTTTGGCCAAGATAAGAAGGTCTTAGATTACAACCGTGTAGTAGACGCGCTTTTACTATAGAATTAACAACAAATTCTTAAAACATAGGAAGGAAGAATATGCTTTTTCAGATGACGAAAAACTCACTAAAGAAAGATAAAACTCTCAACTTGAAGTTTTAAAATGAACATCTGAGAGTTTTCCAATGAAGCTGTCTCAATTAGCGAGGTTAATCAAGGCAGCAGTGCTCCATTTGCAAAGGAATCGTGTGGAAGAAAAAGGTAAGTTTTTGGCATTTTTATCTCCATTCTGGGAAGTGCAAAAATTTGAGGATAGGAGTTTAAGTTTGCCAAAACTGAGATTTAAAGAATTCAACCTTTCAGTCTCAGACCGAACAAATTGTCCAGGTACATTGAACACCATGCTGATTTTCATCCCACATTTCTTTATAAATTTCCATTGTAAACTGTTGTCCACTGCTTCTGCGCACACAAGAAATTTAAGTTTGGCCATGTGTATTAATGTCAGCCTTACAACAACAAAAATTTGCACAAGGCTGCCCTTTAATATTTTATTGCCTGGGAGGTTGCTTGCAAAGGATGTTGAAGTTTCGATCTGATGGGGGCATTATGCTATGGTCACTTGGATTTTTCTTCATTTTCTTGTACAGTTTTGATGGTTGTATTGTATAACTCTGTATACTTTGACATTGCAGATGCAGGGTGCAAAGAACGTCAGTTTTGCAACTTGCCATTCAGGCAAGCTGTAGCTAGCATGTACTAGCCAAAAATTCATTTCAACTAGCCCCAAAAACGTTCTGATGAGCAGGATTGATTACACAGTTCTTATGTAATTTGAAGTCCTGAAAAAACTTCACTTGCCCATTAAGCAAGTTAAGAACCAGATTCATGAGCTCAATAGCAAAGTTCTTCGCACACTGTGATGTGGGTGAGGGAATTATGATCATGATATAAGTACACTTCCTATAAGAAGAAAATTACCACACAGCCCCACATATTAATTATGCAGGCGTTTCAATAAAAAATGCTGTGTTCCCCCGGCCCATGGCCAATGCTATTCCCATTGAAGCCATGAAAAATAAAGGCTATTAAATTAAATAATTAAATCAAATAAAGATTAAATACAAAAATCTTTTAAAATGTGCAAATATCAAATAAATAAATAAATAAATAAATAAGAAGCTAACACGTTCCTGCTTGTAAAGAAATAATTTTTTAACTACACCTTTTTACTATTCTCTCTTATGCTATTTTCAAACTGAGATCCTAACCGAAAAACCGACGACATCTGGTAACAAACTTTGACTTAAGACACATATTCATTCAAACAAAAATTGTATACACAGACAATAAGCTTACATATTAAGCTTAATTTACAAGGAAAATTTGAGCTTATTTTTGAAGCATAGTACTGATCATTATCGTGGCGCTAAATATATTTTCTTTGTGGAACACATTAAAAAAACCTCATGACTAACCTACAAGTTGTCTTGCCGACACCTCCTTTTCCGCCGACAAAAACCCAACGCAGCGTTTTCTGATCGATTATATTTTTAACCGTGGGTTCGAGCGCTTCGAAATCGTCTTCGACATCAGCAGTAGCCATGTTGAACGTGAGTATTCATTCTGTGGAGGAATGGGACCGGATTGTAATGTCCGCTATCCACTCGTACAAAGGGCGCAGGAAAAGAAATTTCAAAATGGCGGACGCTCTTTGCCAAGAAAGAAACGAAAGTTCATGACCGGAGTGTTCGCCGGAATCTACAATCAGGATGTGTGGAATTTGCTGCTGTATTTTCGTAGATAATCAGATTTCAAGGGATAGTTTCCAGGTGGGCAGATTTAACTATTTGAAATAGAAGAGCTGACGATTTAGAAGTTATATTTTCTTGCACTTCTTGATTAGAAGGCTTACTGTAGTTTACGAAACGAAACGGAGCGAAACGAAACGAAATGAAAATCTGTAGTTTGCAAAATGAGAATCTGTAGTTTGCGAAATGAAAATCTGTAATTTTTGAAATTGTTTTAATCATTTAGTAGCGGTAGTGCATTTTCGTTATTGATTATTTTTAGATTTTAGAACCGTTTTTGTTGACATTAAATTACCTATCCTTCTCTATTATTGAATCACTTATTTCTTTATAAGAGGTGATGAAAAGTTTCCGTCCAGTGCAGGCCATTTTAACACCGATACAGCAAACTCAATGAGTTTCCTCCAAAGGGAATTCCTACCGTCAAATGACACTTAAACAACAAAAACTTCTGCTGGAAAATACTTTTTTTCCCTGCATTTGTTTATCTATACAAAACGTTAAAACCACCATGTTCGAAAGTAAATAACAAAGCCACAATAATGTATTTTATCAGTTCGTTTGAATATCGCGTGACGTTTCTGGTTAAGATAAGGTGTTTCAACAGCCACTGGAAGTGGACTTTTTGCATTCTTGGGCAGTGGTTCTTGGGCAAATTTTCAGGCAGATCGTCTCTATAAGAGTAATGACACTTAACAATACAAATGTGGTGGCGTCGAGGCACATAAAAAGGGAAGAGGTCTTGCTTCCGGTTGCTGTCCGTCACTCAAAAATGCCTGAGCTTAAGTTAAACTTTATATGTGGCAACGAAAACGTCATGCATTCTGCGCAATCTGAATTTTCTGGGCAAAACAGCTTTTTTGGGGGGAGTTTTCTGTTTAAAATATCCGAGTAGACGCAGCAAGAAAGTAAATTGTCATTTCGTAACCTACAGATTTTCACTTCGTTTGGTTCCATTTCGTTTCGTTTCACTCCATTTCGTTTCGCAAACTACAGTAAGCCGATTATAACTGGTTTATACGTAGTGAGAAGTGTTTGTCTGTGAAGCACCGCTCCTTAATTGAACAAAAAATCTAAGGAAATGTACCAAAAAGTTATTAGGTAAGCATGAATACACCTGTACCTCAGTCTGGCGACAATGCCCAGCAGGAGCCAGACATCACAAATGCGAGTGTTCTAGTTGGACAAAGACAAAGACAATCTGTAATTCAGAGTTTCTGGAAGGATTCAATCCCTTGACAGGTTAAACACACAGGATCTGGTTGATTGCTTATGTTAAGTATCCTACCGGAAGGAAGAATGTGATGTTCATCGCATTTTTAGACCAAAAAAAAAAGAAATAGTGCTCCGCAGTTTTAGGCCACTTTCCTTTCCTCCTTTTTTTCAATTTTCAAGTTTTGCACAACTTAAACACCTGAAATCGTTGTGCTAATGACTTCACGTATTGCAGAGGTGCCATTACCTATGGAGATCTATTTTGCATTAACTGTCCCCCCTTCCCCCCCCCCCCCCCCCCCCCCCCCCCCCACACCCCCCCCCCCACAACACCAGACCAAACACTACAACCCAAAAAACTACATACACTCACCTTCATACCACAAGAGGAAAAAAAAAAAAACAAAAAAAAAAAAAAAGAAAAGCCCCCTCTGTGTTTTACCCTCATCTTTTTCTCCTTTTTTTTTATTTTTAAATTTTTTCACAATTAAAACACTATGAAAGTTTTTGTTATAAATTCTCCTTATTCAGGGGGACCATTTCTCACAGAGGTCTACTTTTTTTTTACATATCCCCCCCCCCCCCCCCCCCCCCCCACCATTATCAACGACCAATCCACTTGCAAATACTGGAAGTCAAATATCTGTTCAACAAATTAATCTAGTCAGTATTTGCAGATCAGGGAGAGAAAAGGAAAAAAACTGAAAAGGGAAATATCTTAAATTAATAACAAGTGAAAAATTCATTTTAAAAGGTTATTTCAGGTTCCATTCTTCCTCACCTGGAAAGAAGGGGTCCAGATCACAGTGGAAGAAATGAGGTTTCTGTGGAAAATGAAAATGGAACCATCTGCTTGGCTTTTCTAAGCACAGTACTTCATTTAAGAGGCAGGAAGACTCTGCAGCCATTACAAGATGAGTGTGGGAATATTTTATTATGGAATGGAGAAATATTTGGCGGTCTAGCTGTAAGTAGAAGTAGTGTCTTCAGGCTTTTGGGGAAAGATTGAAAAAATAAAAGATACAGTCGAACCTCCATATGCGACCACCTCTTGCAAGCGACCACCTCCCATTCTCAACCATGACCACTTTTATGAATGATGGATTTAGAATTTTCCAGTTGTTTTAATCCTCGTGCAAGTGACCACTTGAGGCAGGTTTTGATTCCTTTGTTTGATGTATGTGCTACACTACTCGGAGTATGCAAAGAACTTTTAGTGATAACATGAAACTACACATATTGTCAATGCAGAAATTGCATGCAATGAACTCTTTTCTAACATGTAAATGTGCCCAGACATCTTCTACAAAGGGATTTTCTGTTCTTGAAGTTCAATTCTCTTAAGCGACCACCTCCTGTAAGTGACCGCTAAACCTTCGCATTTTGAGTGATCATGTTTGGGAAGTTTGACTCAATCTGTTCTTCCAACCTTTTCCCTGTTTTCTATTCTTCCCTTTTAGGTTAATGAAAATGACAATGATACCTTGGTTCTGCTAGAATATTTGTCCAGTCATTCTTCAGATGTGACTCCTTCTCAACACATTCTTTCAACAATGGCCAAAGTTCAAGGACCTTGGTCATTTGTTTACTGGCAGGTAAGCTTAAATGGGCATAGATTGTAACAGTAAATCTAATGATGGCAATATCACCATTCTTTTCATTATATTACTATTATTATTATTATTATTATTAGTGTAACAATGATGTTAATCGATTTTTAAAAACGTATTTTGTTGACACGAAAGCAAAGTTGATTGACAACATTCATTTTGTGTTTTACTTGATAGGACATATTAAATCTCAACAAAATTAATGCAAAGAAGAAGGGGGAGGGTGCTGACCAAAAATTCTAATCAATTACACAACCCACATTTCTCTGGTGAACTTTTTTTATATTACGGCAATTAATTTCTTTTCCCTTGGGAGTTTGAACATTTGTTAGGGTGTTTTTAGGAAAAACCAAATATGGACTCATTAATTCATTAATCCTAAAATATTTTCGTTAATTTGCTAAAATCAATTGAAGTGGATTTTGAATCTAAACCAATCGCACATGAATTTGTTAGATCAAATCTAAATCCTGATTCCTATGTTATCTGTTCTTTTCACACACCAGTCAGAAAAAAAAAATACTCCTTTTATGCGGTTTCCCCATTGAAAATATGAGGTCCACCCTGTTCTCATGAGTTCATGTAGGTATTGTGGACACGCCGAAGAAAAAATTTGGGTTTTTTTGTCTCTGTCGAAATATCGAACGCAAGGAATTTGAGAACCAAAGATATTTACTTGGATTTTCCCAAAGAAAGGCAACGCGCCACTTTGTAGTTTCTTTTGTTTTTATTGCTATTTTTGTGCAGGCAAATGAGCAGAAACTTTGGTTTGGTCGAGATTACTTTGGACGTCGCAGCTTGTTATGGCATCTTCCAACAGATTCAAACGATGTTCTAGCTGTGACATCAGTGACAGAAAGAAACTCTTCTGCAACTGATAAACTGGTATTCATTTCCTTTTCTTTTCTTTTTTTTTTCTCTAACCTTTCACGTTGATCCTTTTCTTCTCGCTTAAAATGCTTGTGTGAGGGGGTGAAAAAGAATACAATTGTTGGATGATGCAACAGATCCTTCACAAAATGACACGCACCATAACCAAACCACGATCCTCGGAGAGCGTCTCTTAAGCGTTAAATTTTGATCGTTCCTTCATAACATGGATGGTATAGAGTGCTACTTTTTTCATGTCTTTATACTATCTTTGGCGGCGGTGTAGCTTTGGTTAAGCTGTTCACAAAATTGTTTATTGAGAAAAAACTTATAATTCTCAGATAAAAATCACTCATATATAAAAATAACACTTACCCCCTCTACTCCCCGCGCCTCTAGATTTCAATTTATTCTCCAAACTTCCAGTTTGGACATCTCTGGTAAGCCGACGCCTGGTCCAAAATCTGGCCATTTACTAGAACTCTGACTGTGTGCCCGATGAAATAGGAGTTCCACGTAGTAGACGGCCTTATATTTGCTTCATTTACTCAAGATTGTGTATAATACCTTCGTGATTTGAAGTGATTTAATTGATAGGTTGTAGGTTCATTAATACCACAGTCAATCTTTAAGACAGAGTTTATCGACTCGGCCAACAAAACATCATGGCTCACAATATACATAATGTACATCACACTCACCCTTTAATCTGCTTATGACATAATTCCCAGGCTCAAACCGTTTAAAACGTTAAAACGTGCTTTATGGTTATTTCAGCACTTCGAAGAAGTTCCTGCAGATGGCTTATATTGTGTGGATTTGCTAAATAACACCAGTGAAGAGAACACGAAAAAACCTTTTGCCATTCGCAAATTTGAGTGGAGTTCCAAGGATGGAGATTTTCAAAACTCTATGTCCTTAAGCTGTCCCGTGTCACCGTTTAATAAGCAGATGCCTTCAAAGGAAGATCTACGTGTTATTGCGGAGACCCGACAAAGAATTTGCTTAAAGGATGAAGAAAAACTGGAAGAAAATTTTACATCAGAAATCAACAACATTTCTAGCAAGGATAAGAATGCGAAAGTCGAAAAGATCGCTGTCGAAAGCGAGTTTTCTTATCTTGACAACTCTAAAAGTATAGCAGGCTTAAGTAAATCGGAACTCCAAGATGCGTGTCCTAATTGTGAAGAACGATACGAGCTCCGAGCTCTTGAAAATTGTAATAGCACTGTAAATTCGAGATTAAGTTCACCCAACAGAACGCCCACAAGAAATGTTGAGTTAAATGCCTCCGACAGTCTACCCTTTCTAGCCTCCAGAAGTCTTTCAAAACTTAACGACGCAGAAAATTCGCGACATAGTTTTGAAGAAACTATACCTCGTGAAGCAACGCCAAGCGAAGCTGGTGATTGTAAAAGTATACTACAAGCATGTTGTGATCGTGGTTCGGTGGGAACACGGTGGAATTCTACCTTTGAAGCGCTCAGAGACAAGTTTGTTACTGTTCTCGGTGAAGCAGTGAGAAAGAGAGTTTTTAACTTGCCAAGGATAAAGAGTAACTCCGTATCATTAGGTTTACAAGAAACTTCATCCAGTTTGACTGCAAAAGAGAAGAGCTCTCTGGAAACTAAGGACAAAGATGCTCGAGTCGGAATTTTATTTTCTGGTGGTATTGACTCAATGATGATAGCAGCTTTAGCGGACAGGTAAGGCGGTTGAGTATGCGTATAGTTGTGCTATTGCATTGCAACATACCAAGGTTCAAGCTTTTCTATCTCACGGCTTTTTTTGGTGTAGCCTACACAGAAACATCTCCAGTCTCACTAGCCTGCGTAGCAAGCGTTTACAATCGAGTCATTGAGCGAAAGTTTGAGCGAGAGCAAAAGAAATCATTCCTTTTATTGCTATCGTCCCACATTTCAAGACGAACTCGTGCGAGAAATGCTTGCTACGCAGGCTAGAGTCTTGATAAAAAAAATTGAAAGAGCTACCCACAGAGATACGTAAAAACGGACGGGAACCAAATGTATCAAAAGACAACAACAACAAAATAAAAATTAATAAAGTAACGCACACACAAAATAATTGTTTCTTTGACCTAAAATTAAATGTGCTGAAACACCGACGTGTTTACCCACTAAGCGATGAAACGAAGGAGGAGAGCCGGAAAAACCAAGGGGGAAAGTGGGGTTTGATCAAACAAAGTATAGCGAACTCATGAACTCAAGACAGTTTGCCCGTTTGCCATTACTTTACAAAAGGTGTCATCGTTTAACAACTTTCAACTTTTTTTAGGTCTGTTCCTTTGGATGAAGCCATAGATCTTATAAATGTAGCTTTTGAACAAAAGCCGCGTTCGAGCAACGCACAAACGAAAAGTAGTAAGAAAAGAAAGGAGAAGCAAAGTGCAAAAGCAGCAGCCAATATAGAAACAACAAACTTCAGCGTTCCAGATAGATTGACTGGAACAGCAGGTTTGGAAGAACTTCGACGCATTAACCCGGCACGACAGTGGAACTTAATTGAGGTAAGTTTGCGCGTAATGATGCGGTTAAAGCCCTCTTTACTAGGACGTAGGGTAGACATAACGGCTGGGTTACCTAGCAATAGAGACAAAGTAGCCAAGGTTTTTCGTGGATGACTTTTTTTTTCGGTAGGTATGGATTATACCCTGTTTAAACTGGTCTGAAGAAATTTTTGAACGATTTTCCCCACGTGCAGCAAGAAACCTGGCCAAAATTTGTCCGAACTTTTCTGAACGGGCACTTAGTATCCTTTGCAGTCTTTTTTTCTGAGAAGCGCTGCGTGACGACAGAAAGAAGGCAGCGAAGGAGACTAGGGATGGCTCGTCTACCCAAGAAACCTCAATCAAACACTATGTTTGTACTACCTCAGTTCAGTCGAACTTGTCCTTTCAAAAGTGTCTAAAATACGTACAGCGCTCTTGATTCCAGAGATAGGAACCTTCATACATGTAGGTAAAACGTAAAGGGGCACACGAGCCACGTTTCTGTAGCATGAAGCAAACCCAAGAGTATTGCTACTCCTCCCTGTACGAGATGCTAGTCCAACGCAGGGTTTCCCCCCCCCCCCCTTAGCAGTATGTCGCCGGTACCCAGTTATACACCTGTGTGAAGAGACACAAAGGGGAATAAAGTTCCTTGTCTAAGGAAACAACGCGACGGGCAAGGCCTGAGCCCCGGACCTCCAGATCCAGAGTTCGAGGTGTTAACCGGTCGGCCACACACGCCTCCACGAATCTTCAGATAATTGTGAATTTATTCACAAGAACTTTTGACAGCCCAGAGGTTGGCTTTTCAGTTGAATTGTAGGCAAGGCAAGTGTCATCCGCTGCACTCGTGTTTAAACTTCAGAACACTCTTTGGACATAATTTGAATCACACAAAACCTGAAGAAAGGGATGTGTTTGCAGATACTTAGTGGTATTTCCTATTGCTTTTAACCATTTTGTCTCCTTTGCCTTAAGGTTGATGTGACCCTTGAAGAGCTACAACAAATGAGGTACGAATCGTATGGTGCGTTTAAGCCACTGCTGTCTACTCCTACAGTACTTCCTTTCCAAATGCCAAGAATGACGCGCTGCTAAGTCCTAATTTTAAATTTTACTCTTTAAATTCAAACTTTTTGTTCCCAATGATCAGGTCGCGCCATGTCAGCCATTTAGTGTCTCCTTTAAATACTGTGTTAGATGATAGTATCGGCTGTGCCTTATGGTTTGCTGCTCGTGGGACTGGTCATTTGCGCTCCTCACACATGAACTGTGGTCTTGAGGATACCCTTTTGGTTGGTAATAAAGAGGATATATACACAAGTCAAGCTAAGGTATAGAACACAAACATTTAGTACAACTTACTTTCCTCAAAGTTATCCTATTCTAGGCAGTGTTATTGTCTAAGCTGTAGAGTTTACCGTATCTACTCAAATTTAAACTTTTGCGAGGGCGGCGCATATTTAAGGGTAGAGTTTTTTTAAAAGTTGGACGCGAGATAAAGAATTGTGTTAACTACGGTATCATTAATTTCCGTATTATACTCCCACTATTAACGACTTCTGATTTTGATTATATAAGGACTGCGACGCTTATTCGGGGGCGGCACTTATTCTAAAACTTCTTTCTTCCAAATGCGGCGCTTATTCCGGGGTCGGTGCTTATTCAAGAAAATACGGTGTGAAGATTCATGTACATATTGCCCGAAATATCTGTCACATAATCTGCCACTGTGGTCAAAGAGATATAAAGTTGTAAATGTATTAAACGAGATATTTTACACAGCCAAACATTCAAAGATGTAAGCACAAATAAAGGAAAAATGATCGAAGAGTCGATTTTAGTATCAGACGAAGGACTGTTGAACGACCTTATTGTTGGTTTTATTTAATGTAAATATTTTTTTGTTTGTTTGTTTTAGGTATTGTTGGTCGGTATGGGAGCTGATGAGCAACTCGGAGGATACGCCAGGCACAGAACCCGCTTTATGTAATTACTTGTTCTATTTACAGTCAAACCAAGTCAAGCGTACCCCCCAAGATTCTTTTAATGAATTGATTATTTGAAAAATAAATCCGTTTGTCGTTCCCGTAACTGGTGTCAAATTCAAAGCGGCATTTCTGCATGCGTAATGAGCAGTGAATATTTTACGAGAACTTCTCTGTATTTGGTCAGATTGGAAATCTTTGAATGGATTAAGCTTCTTAGAAGAACACGGCTCATTACACATGCAAGAATGCAGAGATCAATCTGAAATCTACAACTAGCAACGGATTCAACTTTTGAATAATAAATTCATTAATGTATTCTTGGGGGGTACGCTTGACCTGGTTTGACTGTAATATTTGAGCAATAGAAAACGTTGTCCGTGTTTGCATAGAAACAGGAGAGGGGTTGGGAGAATTCGAGACAGTTATGTAAACCCGAGACGAAGTCGAGAATTCTCTTAACCCGTCGAGTGTTTGTATCAGGCTATGCAAATACAGGAAAAAAGTTTTCTATAGCTTTTATAAATCAACTTTCCGGAGAAAAGTCGCGAAGTCTTGTACACGAAGTTCTTTAATCTTACATGCTTAATCAGTTGTATTGCAAAAACGAGGCTTTCCAAAATACGAATTTTTTCCGCTCAAAATGTCGGCTCAAGAATAAAAAAATGAGACAGCATGTTTTGTAAAGTTTTTCTAGTTTCAGCCGACGAGGGAATGGGTAATTAAAGTAAACTTGTCGAGGTTTCAACTCGAAAAGATGTCACACCATGTTTACATACTCTCATGCAAACACGCCTCTCGGCCAATCAGAGCGCGCGCACTATCTTAGTTATGTTATACAAGTTTATTTGATTTGGGGCGTATCTTGATCCGGGAGCTGGATTTGAATAAACGACTGTTTAACCCGTATTGCCCCAAAATCCACAAACTAGTTCCCCAGACTGATCTCCGTGCATTTCTTTATTAGATCAGCTGTGAGAGAATTTGTCAAAAGATAAAAGCAATTTCCCTTTAGTGAAAATGATATTTTCGCTTCAATATTTAGTAATATTGTAAGAGGAAAATTGATGTTGGTCTCTCTTAGGACATGAGGGTTAAATGGAGTTGATCTGAGAGTGTGGTAGGTAGGGTGACCTCGAATGACTGAAATTTTTGGAAGGGTTAGTCCTCGGAATTCGCTTTCCAGCATTCTCAGGGACAAATGAAAACGTTGTAAAGCACAAGCGAATTTTTGGATCATTTTGCAGTAGTTTTGTCTTTAGGGTTGCGGCCGAGTTAACCCCACCCCCAATTAATCTGATTCTGGAAAATAAGCTTCAAGAATGCCCGGATGAAATTGCGTAGAGGAGCGGAAAAGTAGAAGAGGAAGCTTTGCCTAACTGTTCCTCATACCATAGTTATTAAAGTGGAATGGTTATGAAACCCGTTCGACTTTGTTATATGTTTTTGTTAGCTTTTTTAGACCTGACCGTGAACAACGTTCAATAGCATTCCTATCATTTTGAACTTACTGACCAATAGAGACATCGCATTTAAATTATTCAGTTACAATTTGTGAACAAAAAACAAAGGATTGTGCACGGTCAGAGCGCTTCCGACATAAACTATAGCACCGTCGTTTTCAACTTTGATGTTTGCAGGCTTTCATAACTAGTCTTTTGCTCTTGATGTCTACATATTAAATTGTAGCAATACAAGACTAGTATCTAACTCGGAAACCTAACGGTTTATTAAGATGCTAGGCATTTCCTTACCTGTAATGTATTTTTAGTTTTTCTTTTATTACACTGTATGTAACTGACCGTTAGACTAAAACTACCTTCTGCAACATTTCTAAAGCCAAATGTAAATAAAGCTTGTTGTTGTTGTTTGTTCTCCCCTACTAACTAGATCACACACATCCTTGCTTTCTTTTGTATTTCAGCAACGAAGGTTGGTCAGGTTTAATAGATGAGATAGAAATGGAAGTGAAACGCATTTGGAAGAGAAACCTTGGACGTGATGATAGGTCAGCGTTTACTGTATGAATATTGAATTTCATCTGCAGTGGAGCCCCGAAGCCTTTTTGAAACTATGTATATAGTAGACCAATTATCTGCCTCACACGAATGATTTGCCCAGAGATAAAAACGTATTCAAACTTGTAATAACTCAAAGTTTGTTTAATTCAGTTAAATTCCGAAAATGAATCTCAGATGGTCAGAGACTGTTTTTTTCGACTGAGTTTGCCACTGAGGTGCTCTAGATGTGTGATGGCATGCAGGTTTTTCTGAAGTTTACCCGGTGCTAATCCTGGAAACGACATTAGAGTGTCCGTGCAAGCATCCTGTCCAACTGTTTCCTCGAGTTTATAGCTAGAAAAATGGTTCGTGTGACAGGAAATCCGGTTAGACTAGTAACCTCTCTCTGGATCTATCATTGAGTCCGGCTACACGATTTTCTGTGACTGACCCTATTTGCATTTTTCTGCTTAAAGAGCTGATTGATTCATTGCGCCGTTGATCGTGCCTGCACCCTCCTTTCCTGTCAGATTATCCGTAGGTTCCATTCAAAAGTCAACCTAAATTAAGCAGCCATCAGCTGGCTATTGTTGACTGTATTCCTAGATTGTCCAGTTGAGGCTTATAAATATATTTTTTTAACACCAGAAGACAGCTGTATTGATCTGTTTAATTTTTCTGAGGCATCTTTCATTCGCTATGATTAAGTTAACAGTATTGTTTGAAAATGATTTTCAGGTGTATATCGGACCACGGTAGGGAAGCGCGGTTCCCCTTTCTTGATGAGGACGTTGTCTCGTTTCTGAACAGTTTGCCAGTGTGGATCAAGGTAGAGTGCAAAATTTATTTTTTGGTATGGGGTTGCTAATGTCCTTAGCTTGTGAATGCAAAAGCATAAAATGAAGATTACTTTACAAAGTGTATAGTGTTACGGATTTGAGTTCTCTTTTGCATTTTTCTTGGATAAGGTTTCCCATTCCCTTTCTAGTGGTAAAAATTTGTCAATAGACCTTTTCGGATTCCAGTTCAATATGTATGATCCGAAGAACACATTGAACGGGCTTTGTAGCTTATCCTTTACTTTACTGATATCTTTTTTTACCATTAGTTTTCAAGGATAACTTTTCTGCTTTGAAGTCGTGGGGGTATGACGCTTTTTAGTGACAAAACTCAACTTCTCAATTTCAGACAGACCCAGCCCTGCCGAGGGGGACAGGGGAAAAAGTTCTACTGCGCCAAGCGGCAAGGGTGCTTGGTTTGACGTCATCATCACAATTGCCCAAACGGGCAATCCAGTTTGGGTCTCGAATTGCTAAAATGGAGAGTAACGGAGAGAAGGGCTCGGAGACTTGCTCAAGGCTAGAGTTTTAACGAGAATTTACTTTGACCTGTTAGTGAGTACCACACTCCAGTACCGTGGTTAATAATAGCAATTAAATACCCTGTTCAGCAAAACAGGCAAAGATTTTTTTCAAGTCAGGATGAACAAGAGCCCCGCCCCTCTCCACGGAGAGGAGAAACTTTCTTTTGGTATGATTTTGCGCTCTGAAAATGATTCATACCCTGGTTATTCAAATGTCGGATAGAGCTATCCGCTGGATTAATCACCATTCAGGGGATAAGTATTAAGGAAACCAATTGCATTAATCACTGAATAAAGCTGGTTTTAACCAGTGGTTAGCGTCGTCCACCTCTCGAACAAATGGGCCAAGATTGCCAATAGCTTCATTAAATGTACTGTGACAAAACATCGTCAAGGTCTATCTGCTCTTATAGTGTTTCGCAGATTGTATTTATTCTAGTGCATTTTTGCATTAAACATTTATTTCCTGCGCGTGGTGTTACATTTGTATTTAAACTAACAATTTGGCACACTTTTTAGTGTATTTCATTGTTTTGCTTTCTTAAAGGCTTTACGGTCTTAGAATATGCATGGTTAGACTCTATATATTTCTTTGTGTATTATTTTTCACCTAGACTAGGTGGCGTTTCGATGGGCGTGTATGCTGGACGTCCTTTAGGATGAGATTAGTTGGACTCTCGTCTGAGTTGTCTGAGGATACAGTATATGGTTTTGTACCTATTGCGTTAGCTTTACGGGAGAAGAAGATTTGAGATTATGCAAAATGCTTCAAAATAACACTACAGCCGGACCTTTGGCAATGAATTCCACTTTACGGTCCGTGACTCAAAACTGTGAAAATGTTCAAATGTTTTATTGTTTTGTTTTGTTCTTGCTTTTCTTGTTGTTTTTGTCGATCATGTTGTTTTTTTTTTTATCTGATATTTAATTTCCAAGGAAAAATAAACACAGGAAGGGTCATTCACATACGACGTAACGTCGAGCGACGTCTTAAAATTTTCACACCAGATTGCAGTTGAACGTCAGACGTTCGTCGTTTTATCGGCCATCAGCAGTAAGCGCGCGTCGTTGGTTAACGGCGTTCAACTCATCACCCCATCTAAATTTCGCGATATCATCAAACCAATGCTGTCATTTCGATTTTTTTTCCTCCTACCCCTGGCGGCTAATAGCCAAGTATCTTCATGATCATTAATATTGATTACAGCAACAGTTAAACTACCTGCTTAACAAATGAAACATTGCTGTCAAAAAGTGTAAGTGCTAGGACAGTTTGACTCGAGCTCTTTCAATTATGTACAAGACAAAGTTGGAAGAGCCTTCTGTAGTCATTCAGAAGTAGGTGCCTTTCTGATTTAAAGTGTTCTATTTTAATATGCTAATTGGTGTAAATATTCTGATTTTATAGGTCTGTAAGATACTCGAGCTTAATTTTTGTAGTTAAGCCATAAAAATTTGTCTTAGAAATCTATCTATTCAGGAAAAAAGGTATTCTGATAATATGCCATTATAAGTCATGAAATGGGAGAAGTACCTGTCTGTATGTACATATTACATTTTTGAGTATCTGGGATGTATCACAAATTTGCCAATTAGCGCTGCTGACTATAAACTAGAGATTTGGTAGTTTTGGAAGTGAAAAATAGAAGGGGCAGTTGTTAGTTTAACCCACAAATGCAATTGAAACTTTCAACTTGTGCCGAAGTAAGTAAACATTTTTGTTGAGCGCCAAACCGTGTGGTTAAAAATAGACCATGTTTGTCAATTATTTATCGATCGCCCTGCGGCGTGCGTTTTAAACAAAACCCCAGCAAACCAAAACAGCGAAGAAACCCGAGCATAGTGGAAGCAAATTACCTAATCTGGTTTAAAACAGGTACTTATTACTTCGGAGCAGATGATACAAATTAAGCCTGTCAATTTGCTAGATACCAGGAACAAATGTTGATGATAAATGTTTGTGAGAAAACGTTTGCCTGCAATAGTGAAAAACCTCAAGAACTATAACGCACACAGACTTGTATATAGGTCTTACTTTCAAGCCTATTTCTAGGTGAAGAAAGAAGGTCCCTTTACTTTGCAAAAGCAACACTAAAAATGACGACTAAACGAGACAAGACTATGCCGCTTAAACAGTTTACATTTCAATGTAGTCAATTTAACTTTCTTTAAATTAGGAAAAGAAAAATAGTGTCTCGAGAATTTATAACGGACAAAAACCACACGACACGATAAAACTAAGATTTAAATTCATTCCCCGCCTAATTTTTGCAGAAAAGGTATTTTAGTGTACATTTGTAGTTTAGGGAATAGTGGATTAGATAGAAAGGATAAAATCCTTCTTTGCTGCCCTATTCATTATGTTAACATTGAGGTACAAATTTGAAACCCAAAAACAACTCCCAACTTAACAAAAATAACGTAACCAATCGCTCACCGCGCCAAATTGCAGTTGACACCTACAAGGCCGAAAGAAACAACCGTTTTTAGCCATAACAATTGCTTAGCCACTCAAAGTTAGTTGCAGCAAAGAACTGCCTTTCAAAACAAAAAGTAGACATCTCGAAGTCCTTACACACTTCCCGGGTAAACTAAAAATTCAAGGAACAGATAAAAAAATTTCATGGTTCTAAAACTGCTGCTGTACGCTCCCGTTGCTATAAAATTTCAATAGAATTTATCGAAACGAAACTTATAATTCAGCGATAAAATATTGACGAAAATGATTGATAGAAATTCGCCATTTCTTACAACGAGGAATTTTCGTGCAACGAATTTTGCCCACCTTGATAGTTCCGAAAGACTAATAGTAACAACAATTTTGTTTAGTCATATCATATCTATGCTCCACACTGCAAAGCAAATTTCCAACACATAATTAGTTTGATTACTAATACTAATTTTGTTGAGGAAACTTTATGAAGGGGTCCTTCAGTGTGTACTGAAAGTTCATTAATTAATTCTCTTAATTGTATGTTTAGCATTAAGACTATAATGAAGGTAATTTTTTGAAAGGGAAATAATTCTGCACCTTCAGCCTTTACTAATTATCGTCGTTACGATTGAAACGTGCAAGTATTTCCGTTTTACATGGATATATTTCTTGAATTAAAGGTGTATACACTCATCTTTTTTTCTTTGGTTCCAAATAAACCATGTCTTCAATTTTAAAATCTTGTATGTTTATATTGTCCAACAGGGAAAATATTCTGTACCCCCAGGGGATTTGATTTTTGTTATGTTTGCTTTAGTTTTTCCAATATGGGTTATTTTAAATTACAGGTCTTTTTGTTGTAGTTAGAAAAGTGAAAATTACTATAATTATTTAGTACTATAATTATTTAGTGAATGTCCCGCAAATCTACCGGTGAATATGAGGAGTTTAAACAATTCAGTATAACGAAAGAGACAAAATATAACATGACTGAGTACTGCGTATTCATAGGCCTGGAAAAGGTTGATATCGGATCATGTTAGGCTATGTTGTTACTTCATCCTCATCCGTATTCACCTGGCGTGCCAACACTTTCTTTTATATCACCCCTTGGTGGCCAGTATCCATACAAGTATTCTTGTCATGAATATTGATAAAAGCACAAGTTAAACTACCTGCTTAACAAGAAAAACATTTTCGTCAAGGGTATAACTTCTCCGGCATTCCCATTCGAGTTAATGCAATTATGCACAGGAAACTGCCTTGGAGTGAGACACAGCACGAACAACACACGCTAGAGTCTCAAAAGTAAGAAGCCTATTTAATATATTACCGGCATAGAAAAATGTTAATATATGCTTGTGAACAGTTTTCTTATACAAGAAGTAAATCACAAGGCGACATGTATGTTTGAATTCATACATTTGCTAGAGAAACTCAGAATCGTTTTGAAAGGTTAAAACAATATGTTGCTTCTAGGAATCTGTTTCAGCAACCGCCTTAAAAATGTGTTAATTTTTTTGTTAAACGACTTATTTTGAAATGATATCGCAACGATAAAAATATCCGAGTGTAATTAAATTCGCAGAAGCTTGAACGAGGAGATTGAAAACCACCCTAATTGAAATAGACGCAACGTCAGAGTCACGAAGTTGTCAAATTGCGTGCGTAAAAAAGCAGTCACATTCTTTCTCAGGACGCCTTTTTCTGCGCTGGATTTTTGATGAAATACTTACAAATATTTCATCCACTGATGCAGAGGTTAGATCTCCCAATATTATATTTAAAGATAGTTCGGATTTTTAAAGTGATAACATATTAAGTTATTTGTTACCTCTAAAGAGAAATATAATCAAATTAACCGAGCAAATTCGAATACGAAAAACTATCCCCTTTAGGAGAATAGGTTACTTAAAAACTGGCAAAAAAGGCTTTGGCTATGAATAATTTACTAATAGCCCATCGAATGTATCGTAAACACAGCTCTAGAAATTAAAATCTACAACGGCGTGGCGAATTAAGTTAATTAGTTTTGTCCAAGGGTATTTTGTACCCCAGTTTATGTTAATGTTAGATGTTTGGAGAAAGAAAAACTGACACCTCTTTTATGCAATTTGTTTAGGCATGTTCTAATAGAAAGCAGAATTTTAAATAGACGGGAATTAAGTCTTGCGTGATATGTTATTTGGCATGTAATTAATATTTTTTTTGGTTGGGAGAAAAACTGAAGCAGAAAGCGAAACTCCCAAATTTAAGACGAGGTACTTTTGGACCTTTTAGTGTAACGGGGATTTGCCAAATTGAGAAAGCGCCATGTAATATGTTCCTTTAGATTTTATATTTGCTGAATAAATGATTCATTGTTAGCTGAATCTCATGTTTTTCTGTCGAGGTTTCACTAACGAAGAAAAGCAGGTTACTTTCACATTTCCAGCCTGGTAATTTGAATGTGTTATTTAGTTCCTTGATGATATGTATCTGATATCTGTGTAGTGTTTGATCGCTGTCAGTTTGCGTGAGAAGCAAAACATCTTGAGATTGTGGCATATGTAAAGATGAGTTATTTTGAAGAAACATTTCTTTTGTTAAGATATGTTTAGGGCACTTTTATGTCTCATTAAACAAAAATTCAGTTTTTTTTCAAGTTTCATTCTCCAGAAACAAGCAAAACAAATTAGTTTGTTCGGGAAATATCTAGTTTTGGTTGCGCGCTACTATTCATGATCATAATGCGATGAAGTTGTAATTTCTCCAAGATTATTGCCAGGTACTCTTTCTAAATGGGGTTCGTAAGCACAAAATGGATGTTGATAAAACTATTTTTTTGCTTTAAAGGAGGAATGATACGAGTTGATCAATTTGTAACAACTCTGGAAGCTTTCGTAATAGATAGAACATTCCGCTTTTTTCTCGAAATTATTTCATTGATGAATTCTTTTTTCCCCACATTAAATCCAGTTTCGAACCATTAGTCCCCATCGAAGCTAAAAAACAACAATAGCAGCAAGTAGTTACTCAGTTATTCAAATATGTTTACTTTCGTC